AATATTATAAGCTCGTTATGATAACTTTGTCACAGCAGTTAAGTAATGAGGTTGAAAGCTTTTTATATTTTGCAGTAAACAGCAGTGTCTTACCTCCTCAGAGAGCGACTATTGCGTGAAGAATCAGAGTCCGTAGAAGAGACAACAGCTTCTAGTATTTCACTGTCACATGACTCGTCATTTGTGATGACAAAGCGAAGAAAAAAGGAAGACGGTCCCTTTAAGCTTTAAACTTTAAACCACCAGCGGTTGTTCAACAGGAAGTTTGAGAATTATCTTGTTATTCACATATACTCTTTGGTAAGACGAACATACGAAACGGAAGGCAGGTGTCTATCTTTACATAGTTCCTGTCGAGTTAACTGACATTTTAGCATACTTAAGTTGCTGCTACTGATGTTAACGCATCAACAAAAAGTTAACTTAGTTAATTTAGCTTCTGTACCGCACCGAGTATTTTAACACAAACAAGGATTTGTAATGAGTTGTTTGTCCACAGTAACTACAATTCCCACAATTCACCTAACGTAACTTACGTTACGCACTTTCTAGAAGCTAGGCGACTCTTCACTTCAGAATAGTTAGCCAACGTTAGCTAACGTAAGTTTAACCCAGCCTTCTTTCAAGCAGTTCAGTGGCCGTTAATTTGGGGACTATTTCTTCTTGCAGGCGGTGTTATAATAGTAGGTTAGTAAGACTTGAGCACTTAGAGCCCGTTGCTGTGTGCTAATGGGGATAGCTAACATTATTCCAAAGCAAAACTGGCAGAGACGAACTAGCTAACAGCAAAACGTCAACAACAAAATAACCAAGGGGTTGGGCAGCTGCACATGTTGGTCTGTAACGCTAAATGTTTCTGGTTAACTTGTGCAAAGTTGTTATTTAGTGCAGGTATGAAGCTGTCATTGCGTCACGGAACTTGGCCAGTTTTATCCGTAACGCTTAACTAACGGGAACATGCAACGATGGTATTGTGGCTAGCTAGAAAACCAGCCAGCTGTCCTCGTCTAGACATATTTATAACTTGGTGTGTGCGTCATGTAGGTTACAGGAAATACCTTTTATCAGCTTATCTGACTGGTATCAATACTGATCTTCCAGATCAAATCCGTTTGTAGTTATCTACCCGTGTGTCTCTTCAAATCATTTCATCGACTGGACCACCTTGCATCACTCTGCTCCCTTAAGCAGTGAAGGGGGGCCTCTGCCGGCCATGTATTCATTTTCAGGACCCACAAGCCTTCCTGAATTTGACCTCGGACCCCCAAGTACATCTGGTAACCCGCAGAGAGCACCCATCTCCAACAAGTATGTAGCTGTTGATGTTAGGGCTGTAAACTGCCTCTATACATTGGTCAGAAATAAATTAGCAGTACTTTTCCATCTTAACCTGGCATGTGGTATCTTCTGTCCCTCAGCAGCTGGGAGGCCCGATGCCTCAGGAAGCACAGGAGGAGAGTTGATGATGAGTAAATAAGCAATACACAGAAGCAGCAGTCTTACTTAACATTTGACAATGTGTGGAATAGTGGCATATGAGTGTTATAACACTTTATCTGAATGTTTTCTCAGGGGATGCAGTGCCAAAAGGAGGAGGTTAATGTTGGAGGCAGAAGTGGAAGCAGAGAGCTCAAACAGTAGCACTCGTCATGACTGGCCTACAGCAAACAACTGCCCTCCGCTGTCTGCACAGCAAGGCAGCCCTGCACTTCCACAGCCCTTCCCAGCGCCTCCGAACTTGACTTTGGCTCAGCCCTCCTCTGCTGTTTCACGACCCGAAACAGAGAGCTCCTGCATGGAGATAGAGGCAGCTCAGAGGAGACTTCAGGAGATTGAAGACAGGTATGCATTAGGTGGGATGTGCACCAACTGCCAACTATCTGACTGCTTGCTTGTCAGGATTAGACTTCAAACCAACACTTCATGGCCAAAAATCCTACCTATAATTAGCCATCCTGGAATCTGTTGTGGACAGGTAAAACAAAGGTGAAAAGAAAAAATATATACATATTTATGTATATATATATACTTGCCCTTGCAATCCCAGACATTTTAGATATCCTGTGTTTATAGAATGAACACGTGCCTTTGCAGTCACTCCCCTGAGTGGCAAACACAAACAGTAGTTGCCTTTAATGCGCTACTCGATACAGAAAGAACAGGAGGCTTGAGTTTATTTTAAAATGCATTTGGTGAGAGGAGGTCTTGGAAAGGCCATCAGTCTATTACTGATCCCTTGTGAGGAGCTGTATAAAGAGATTATTCAATATTCAGATTTATTTTCTTGCCATATTGTTTTGTGACTAAATGATTATATTAAGATATTGTGGGTCACCTCTCCACCTCTCTGACTAAATTATGTTCAAATGTATGAAAATGTGAACATTTTAATTGTAAGATTTTGTTTGAAAGAAATACTTTTTTCATGATTTTGAATACTTCATTGTTCTCATGTGGGTTCTCTCCAGGTGCTCCGGCATCCTCCCACCATCCACAGACATGCAGGCTAGGTTAATTGGTGTCTCCGAAATTGTCCTTAGGCGTGAATGTGAGTGTGTGTGGTTGTCTGTCTATGTGTGGCCCTGTGATGGACTGGCAACCTGTCCAGGGTTGGCTCCAGCCCCCCCCCCCCCCCCCCCGTAACCCTGTACGCTGGATAAGCTGTTGACGATGGATGGATGGATTAAATTCCCAATATCCCATATTATATATATATATGGGATTACTGTAAATATATGTCTTACTGTAATAGTTATCTTGTAATTAATTTTTTCAAATCACCCTGTATAGTACATGTCAAGATACTCTGTTTCTGCCTCAATGGGTCCGTGGTGGCGATAGGTTCGCAGGTTGCGTCACATGAAAAGGTGGCATCAACACATAATGTACCGTCGATTCCTTTAACTGAACACACTGATATTGATTTATCACAGAATAATACTGGAGGATGACGATGAAGACGACGATTTGGATGTAGAGCCAGCCCCGAGACGGCCAGTACTGGTGATCTCTGACAGTTTGAAGGAGGATCTACAGCGCGGCATTAGTGACATCCTACCCCACACAGTAGCCCAGTCTGTGTATGTTCTCCTTGTGTTGTTATTGGAACGTTGTAATGTTGAATGAAGTAACATGACTCGTGTTCTGCTGGCGAGAGATTCCTCCTTGAACATTTTTCTCCTCTCGTACTTTTAGGAGCCACTCCTGCATGGAGTTGGTGTTGTGGCGGCCACCTGACGATCCCTTCTGTCGGAAGCGAAAGGGACCGTTACAGAAACAGCGGAAACAACAGACAGTATCTCGACAACCCCCGACACCGTGTCCATCTCCCACCCCTCACGGTCCCCTCAGCCCCTCTCGCCCCACTGCAGACACAGACTCTTCTATGTACAGCTTTCCTGTGGCCTCTGGAGAGGAGGACATGGAAATGTAATAGTGTTTAATGACTTGAAAAGCCATGCCAAAGACTGGACATGTAGTGACAAAAAGGACTATAGAGGAACCATTTTAGGTTGGTAAGTTTGGTGAGGCATGTTGACTTCACATGAATATTTGTGTTTTGGACAGTTTGTGCAACACATTCTTTGTTTTACAGACGCTCCGTTTAGGTTCTCTGACTATATAATGTAAGATGGAACAATAACGCTGACTTAATAATCAGTTTTATTAATTTAAATTTCCAAAAAACTCCCATGATCTCAAGACTGAAAAGTTCTTTAAGCAGCCTTATAACCCATTTCACAGAATAAACATTTGCCCTTAGAAATATGATAATTTGTACATAAATTTGACAAAGTCTGGCCAAAAACACGCTGATGTACTGTGAATATGACTTTGTTAAATATCGGTGTGTAGCACCGGAAATTTGTACAGTTTTTATGTTCAGCTTCTGGGCCTTGATAGCGAGACACTAAAAATTGTTTCTGCGTGTTCACGTTTGCTCACAGCACGACTTCCTGCTTGCAGCTGTACTTGTTGTGGTAAAAAAAAGATTATCTTCCTATAGTGTTTAGCAAGTACGCCATCTGTGAGCTTTGAGGAATTTATAAAGAAGTCGTAGAAATGCACCTTTTATATAATTTGATTGTATTTTCATATGTACATTGCTAGAATTGTTATCAGCCATCGAGTGGTGTTACTCTTTATTTGTTATTAAATAAACTTATATGTTGAGATTTTGCAGGGCATAGTTGGTTTTTATTGAAAGAAATTTTGCTTGAATTTAGTGAAAGCGGTCCTCTTGTTGGGGTCAGCCCTCTAGAAGATGGTTTTCTGAACCAAGACTGATGATCACGATATTGTTTACATAAATAGAGATGTAGTTGTTGAATAAATAGGTGCTGGTCCTGCGTTCTCCTTTTTAGGAAGAACTGACAACACAACTACTACACCAGCCTGCTCTAACATCTTGGGAACAAAAGCATGTCGATATGACCGCAACTGCTGATGTGATTAAAGAGAAACCATCTTTTAAAAATGTGGCAGCAGTCTCAGAATATTTTGTTTACATTAAAGACACAATGTGTAAGATATGGCCAAAATTTTAGTTTAAGATATTAAATACTATGAACAGAATGTGGAGAGTTCTGACGTTAAGTCAGAGACGTATATGTAGCGTGTTGCAGAGATTTCTACTTAAGTTAGCATGCTAAACAGCTAGCCCCGGCCCTGTCCTGTTTTGTTAATACCACTTTTTTGGTTTGGTCGTACTCTCCCACGTGACACCTCTCCTGTCCCCGCCTGAGCTTGCTGTGTCTTCGTCGTCCCTGTCAGTCTTGGAGGCCGTATTTGGTCCATAGACTGGGTTCAGTCCCGGTCCGGGCATGCTTACTGAGCTAACTAGCTAACAGCCAGCTATTGTTTTGGAGTATAAATTTGACAGGTGGGTTAGTCTCAATTCTTACAAATTGTACCTTTAAGATTAAACATTTTCATAAGATAGAAAAAAATAACAAATGTGATAAAGATGTTTAAAGGCATATTAAATGCTTATTACATAATTTAGTTTGAACTTGACACAAATCTCCTTTTTATTACAACATACAAATTTATATTGAATTGTAATCATGTAACATTTATGATTATACAAGGGATTACCCCAGAACTGTCAGCCCTATATGTTTCTCTTACATAACTCACATTATCTTCACAGAAATGTCAGTTCATCACTCACTGTTCACTGTAACCTTAAGTCATAAAATTTGACTACCGTAACACAGAGGAATGTGAACTTTATGGCCAAATCATCGGTTGTGTCATTTGTCACTCTGACCTGCTTGTTAATCTGCTATCTAAGCATATGTTACTGTAAATTATTATTTCTGTGGCCACACACATACCTTGAAATGCCTGAGAGTCAGATTTAGAGAACATTATATCACCAGTGTGTGTAGCACACACAGAGTAAGGTTTCATGTCCTTAACTTCAGACTTCCTGATTGATCAGTGGCTCTGAATCCCAGCGACGTCTAGACCTTGATTGATCTATAAAAGGAGACACCAACATTAGCTATTATTATAATATTATAAAGACGAACAGAAATCAAATGCTGACGAAAATTTGTTTTTTGGGATCAGATCCAAAAGTGCTGTGCCTCTTACAGAGTGGTAGTTGTCATATTTAAATGTTAAAAAAAAAGCTTTATACACTAATTTAATTAGTTTCTTCCTACATTCACTTCTTAGATTAATATACATACTTTAAAACCTTAATAGAAATAGTTCACCTGGCCCTAAGATAAATTACAAGGATGACTGTTTACTGTCCACTTGTTTATCACCACTGTAAATGCAGCTAGTTCTGACACTGAAAGAGGGACAAGTCCGTAATCAGCAGTAACCTGCTATTAAAACAATGTACTCACTGTTGTAAGATAGGATCCTGACAAATCTAAAGGGACTGTATTTGAAGGCGATGGACTCCAGGTGTTGGCCTGGTTTTCTACACGGAGCTGCTTGACTCTGCTCTGGAGGTAACGTAGAAGCTTAAATGAAGCCACATCTGAGGCACTGTGGGAGGCAGCAACATAGAGGGAGGAAGAGCAAACTGGATTCTGAGCTTCCTGATGGGGGAGATGAAGACAGTGAGGTCTTTTGTCAGTAAACAAATGAATGTTATATCTTTAGGTGATGTATCTTTAAGAGCTTGGCCTTCATGCCTACAAGAACAGTAAAACATTTACCTTTGCACTAAGCGTCATCTCTCCGACAGGCCTCTCAGGCTTTCTCTTCCTCTCCTCTCGAGTCTTCGCTATTTTTCTGGGAAACAAACAAACAAACCAAAAAGGTTGTAATGTTGTGAATAATTAACATAACTGCATGAAGGAGTGGGGTTATTATGGGTTTACATGTTTAGCTGGTTTTACATCTACGCTATAACACGCATATGTGAGTTGAGGCGAGATCGTGCTCTTGTTAGGACAAAACCTGGTTAGTATGTCATCTATTTTACACAGAAACCAGTTACCTGTCCCGTAACAACTTTGTCTTGCACCTGTGGAACAGCAAAAATTAAAGCAAAACTTAAATGTGGAAAAAAAAATTTTTGATTTCCATTCCATCTTTCCATCTTGGATTCTGAGCCATTTTTAGGAGTACATGTGTTTTACATTTCCATATAGTATGGGAGATTACTGATTAATACTTAGACGGAACAAGATGAATGTGTTGACATTACCGTTCCAGTTCAGCTGTCAGCTCTTCCTCAAACTTGCATGCCAGACGAGCTGCAGTCTGTTCTTTCCACTGACCCATGCTCCTCTGAACCTGCCTCAGCTCCAGGTCTTTGGCCCTCAGCTGTTTGCGAAGAGATGCTGCCACTCCTCCCCCCTCAGCTCCTCCATCGCACATATGAGCCCTGCTCAGACTGCTTAACTCCTCAATGTGCTCCTGCAGAAATATGGCGTGGCACATCAACGCTCTACTTGATTACTTCTCTGTGTCCGTGTGCAGCAACATGACACAAAGTGCACAACTTCATACCTGAATGAGACGCTCCTTTAGAGAATCCAAGGCTTGGTCTCTCTCCATCCTGAGCTGCTGCCTCTGGATGCTCAATTCTCGTTCCTGACAAAAAGATGAACTTGTAGACGTGTATTCATGTGTATATCTAATGTGCTGTATTTGCAAACGCAAGGGCACAGTGCAGTTTGTAAACTATACCTTGTCTTTTCTCAGCTGCACAAAGATTTGTTTCTGTGAATCAAGCTCCTGGTGTTGATGGCTAATCAGGTGCTTCAACTGCTCTGTTAGTGTTCTCAGGTTTGAAAGAGCCTCAGCTACTGAAGGCCTGCACAATACAAATGCATCAAAATTGGAAGCTAAACATCAAACTCACAAAGTATTCACTTCTTTCTAAACCAGGTATTTAAGCCAGAGCAGGAAGATATACCTGGGAGGTAGTTGCACAGAACTAGGCTTGGTTCCACTCTGCTCCAGTAAGAGGTGTAGATGCTGGCACTCTGTTCCCAGCTCCTGGGCCCAGTGTCTGAGCTGCTGTTCCATTTCAGCTGTGATTTGGTTATGGCTGCTCTCCCTTTCTTCTATCATCACCCGGAGTCCCGCAGCCTCTTTCTCTGACAGCTGATTAGCCTGCTCAAGCCGCAGCACTGCTCTCTGACTCTCCTGTGACCACGGACCACACCATGTCAGCTTTTCTGCAACACCACATCTCTTTTATGAGCCTGTGAATGAGTGCTTTCTACAGTGTTCTTGTCACCTGCGCCATCTGTCTCCGCAATTTCTGCAGCTCAGCCTGGTGCTCCTCTTTCTGTGACTTGCAAATAGCAGCCACCAAAGACTCCTGCTCTCTCTGCCACGCACAGCGTTCACTCTCCAACTCCTGCACTCTCTGATAGATAAAAAGAAAATCATGCACAGACAGAATGCACATTTACTTGGATTTATTTAAGATGGTAATGTCCAGGTTGCTTACTGTTTTCAGTTCCACCACTTTATGTTGAAGAGATAGTGCTTTACTCTTCTCTCGCTGCATCTCACTCCTCATGCATTCCAGGCTCTTTCTGTTCTGCTCTTCCAGTATCCCGCAATGCACCTGCACAGCTTCCACTTTTTCTGCCTCCAACTTCCTCCTCTCCTCCTCTATTGCTTTCTGCACCTGAGTGGGAGCAGACTGTGCGTATCATGGAATCGTGTTGAAAAAGACACGTTTTAGGCACATATTAGGCAGAGGGTTATCAGAGTACCTTTTCCAGGGCTTCTACCCGCAGCTCCTCTTCATGCTTCTTTGCCTCCTCCTTCTGCTGCTCCAGAGAATTCCTCAGCTTCTCTGCCTCTTCTCCTTTTAGCTGCCAGAATGGGAGAGGATCATATCTTGAGAAGTTACCTTATAGAGTGTTTTTACTTACTGTGTATCTAGTGCAAAGAGCTATAATCATGAAAATGACACACACAAGTTAGACTACAATATATGCATTCATCATGGCCGTGTAAGGTACTATAGATAAAACAGTTCACCAAATAGTTTACATTGAGAAAACAGTGGATTTCATATGCTCAGGGAATCACACTGACCTGAAGGGAACTTTGTAAGGACTCAATGTGTTGGGTGAGAGACAGAGCTTGTTCTTTCAAAGCGTCTGCCTTCTCCTCTTCAGTCTGCTTATTAACCTGAGGACACAACAGCCAGAGGGACTGCTACAATTAAATTGTGATGATGTCATTTGAAGAATCAGTATTTTAGTTTGCAGACCCATGTGTCACCTTTTTGATTTGCTGCTCATAAGCCAGTGCCAAATCTGTCTTTTGCTGCTTCAATGCGGCCTTCTGAATTTAAAAAAGAGGAACCCACTTACTTGGGACTTAGTGTTACATTTGAAAATATCATGATCTGTAGGCTTGGAAAACCTCAGACAGCCTCAGCACTTACCATCACTCTATGGGCTTGCTCCTGGGCTTCTTTCAGTGCATTGCAGTGCTGGGTTTTCAGGTGCTGTAGCTCCACCTTCAGTCCATCTCTTTCAGCTTGAAAGGCCATCTGTTGCTCCTGCAAATCTAGCAGCTTCAGCTCCCTCTGAGCCAACATCTTCTCCAGAGTACCCACTCTGACCTTGCATTGTCCCAGTTCACCCTGCAACTCGCCCACCTGAACCTCTACTGCCTGATCGAATGAGATACACCAAAAATAGCGCGGATAGTTAGAAATTATTGAATGAACAAAAAGTGGACATTGACAGTGTGCCATTAGCTTAACAGATAAATATTAGATTTTTTTTGGCTTCGAAATTAGAGTATGATGTTGTGAGGTGCCACTACAATCTGATCCTTTTTCTGCCTCTGTTTCTCCTCCAGACAAGCACATCTGTTCCTCAGTGTGCTCTCTGCCTCTGTGGCTGTCTGGAGCTCCTCACGAGTCTGCTCCAGCTTCTGTTCCAAGGTCATACATGAACACGTAGCCAGAGATATTTTAAAACACAGACAATAAATCTCCCTTTCACATATAAACAAATACCTTCTCCCTGTAGTTTCACTCAAAGTGCGAAACAATAACAAAAAATTAAAAGGATACATTCACAAGTAGTAATACTTGTTAACGTAAAAGGGTTACTGCTGGTTTTAAAATTTTTTGTTATAACCTTTTGGGGAAAACACATATTTTACATGTATTCTCTTTTCTAAAAATCTTTGAATAAATAAGATAATTTACCTTAAAAGTTAAAAGTTTCTGATTGAAATGCCACTGCAAACAAACCCCTTTCTACCCCATGATTTGAATGGCTGAAACTGTTTTATTGTTATTTCATCATCTAAAATAATGTTGTAGTAACAAACTTGCATGTTTTATTATTTTATATTATTTAGAATTGCACTGTTGTAGTGTGAACACTGTTGTAATAACTTTAAAATTGTCATTATAGTTATAATTAATGATATAAACGGTCCTTAACACATTACTTCTTGCATGGACTCTAGCTTCTCTCTTGCTCGTCGCTGTTCAGCAAACAGTTCTGTTTTGGCGCTGTCCAGCTGTCTGTCCATCTCCTCCCTCTCCAGCACTGACATGACGACACTGGGCTGTTTGTGGAAGAGTGGGGAAACATAACAAAAAGTCTAGTATTAAGAATGAGACACAGCCAAAAAACTAATTGCTTGATTGAGAATTAATTACCCTCTCGGTGAAGGCTGCCTCCTTTAGAGTCTGTTTATATTGAGTCAGAGCAGCGAGGTCTTCCTCCATGTCTCTTAACTCGAGGATACAGGAGTCTCTCTGGCTCTGCAGCTCGTGCAGCTGAGAACTACAACACATTCATTGTTGTAATAATAATTTTACAGAACTATTCTTTGTACAGCACACGATTATGTTGATGCAATGTGAGGTTACTTTGTTGATGCATGCGGCTTTGTATAATACAATTAGTAGGAGATTGGTTTCATACCTAAGAGCATCCTTCCCTGCCCTGCTGTCTCTCAAAACGAACTCCAGAGTCCTCCTCTCCTTCTCCATTTTTGTTGTCTCTACAGTCATTCGATGTAATTCCTGAAAGGCATGCTGGGACATATACCATAAACTGTGAGTATAAGCGAGACTTCTCTACAGTGCTCTGATAAACTACTGTATATAAGAGGCTATAACTTACCTTTCTTCTCTGTTGAAGTTCACCAAGGGAGAACTCAACATCTTTTAACTGCATCTTCTTCAACTGCAGCGTCTCCTCCTCTTTCTCACATTCCTAAACCAGACACGCACACCAGTTAAGCAACGTCTCATACACATGTGCACAGGTGAATTTATACAGTTGGCATAAAATTACATCTCAGTTCATACAAAATATGATACTAAAATACTCTGGGAGACTCGTTCTCACTTGTCGGAGTGTAGAGAGCCGCTCTTTCATCTTCACCCAATCACACTGCAACATCTCTGATGTCTTCTCAGACCTGCATTTCCTGCTCCGGTGATTCATTTCCTCATCTGTGTCCTTGTCATAGTCCCCCAAACACACAAGTCTGTGAAACACAAACATGCACAGTGTGTAATTCAGAAATGTATGCAAAATAAGCATTTTAAAAGTGTACACAACACCGAAGAGAAGACCAAAATGTTTAGTTTTTAGATGTTCTTCCATTTGGTTTACCTGTAAGTTTCTCTCTTATTACGCTGTGCTTTACGGGCAGAAGGACTTCTGTTCTGTACATTTCCATGAGAGGACCTCTGGCCTTTGCAAACAAAGCAAGGCAAATTCAGTGACCTTTAAAAGATTCAGTTGTTTTATTACTGTGGACTACACAGTCAGATCTTGCTTTACCTGATGTAGATCGAGGTTCACTTTCTTCCTGTGTGGGTGTGTCATAGTCACTCTGGTTGGTACAGTAGTCATCCATGCCTGTGACAGACTGAAGGAGCGAGCGCCATGCTAGGAGGCAGGGGGTCACACAAATGATGTTAACAGTAATTTTATACATATTTGTTATACTCCTGTTAACTATTATTTTTTTACATTTAAAGAGTTTATTTCCAAGCATTTCTTGATTTTCATCATTCATTGCCTCTTAAATTTTTTTCACTTTGTGCTGTCAAACGTTTTGTTAGTGACTGTATTTCAAATTGGGATGTTTTGTGTATAAACATGTCTTATCATTTCATAATCAGACCTGCTTCCCTCCACCTTTTCCACAGTCTCTTACCTGGCCGCTTGTGAATATGCTGCCTAACTTGTTCGGTGCAGACTGAGTCAAGGTCACTGTCAATGGACACGGTGTCAAAACTCCACACAGGCACTCCTGTAAAAGAGACAAGCAGCCTACAATCACTGTTTGTAGTGAATTCATTTCCAAGAATCTTAGCTAGACTGTGCTTGCAGTTGCGGCGTAATCTGTGTGAGGTACCTGCCAAGCACCTGGCCTTGTGAAAATGGCTGTCGTTCTGCCGCTGGGCTTCATGTTCAGATATGGCCTCTGTTCTGTGAGAGACTAAAAGACAGGAGAGACAAAACAAAGAAGAACAGGACCCAAAAAGGAAGACCAGAGGTATGCTAGTGTGCAATGTAAAGTATGTACAACTCAAAATACAGAAGTGCTGGTACAAACAATATACAATACTTTGCACTATTCTTGGGGATAAAGATGTAAAGTTTTTCCTTTGGATGCCCCTTCAAATTAAAAAGGTTCATCCCCTTACGAGAGTAAATGTGCTCCGCAAATGTCATTTATTAGGTTATGTACCGTATGTGTGTTTTTCGCCTAATGGTACTGCAAAAGCTCACGTCCAAACGGTTTCGTTCTCTGGGGGTAATTAACGGCCTCAGAAAATTTCTAGGCAATAATTTCAAGTATTGTTTTAGGTGTTAGATTTAATCTTCTGGGCACTATAAATATCCACAGCAAAATACATGGAAATCAAGCTGTTAATTTTCAAGATACACTGTTGGATGGAATGGAGTGTTGATTGAGAGGAAAATTTGACATGACTTTGGTTCTAGAAGAAAGGTCTTTAAAATCATTTGGAATAATCCTCAGGGGAGCATGAATACCCATAACAAATTAAATGGCAACCTGTCAAGTAGCTGTGGAGATAACCTGCTCTGAAGCAAAGCGCTGGGCACACACATGGACAGGCAGATGGATAGCTTTTCTCTTAATCCTCACATGTTGAACCTAAGAATAATAATGAAAAGTCTTTGCATGTTTGACAGCTCTTTGTCTCCCATGAGTCTGTAAAAGAGTACTCACTGCTGCCATCATCGCCAAGCCGCTGTGGTATGTTGTATCTCTCTCCAGTTCCTGCTTTCTCACTAACATGTGATGTGTTTACTCCGTAGCTGTCAAAAAGACATTTCTCCAGTTTCTTTCTTTGACATGGCTTGTTTGACGGGGAATAGCGAGCAGCGTCTATGTCTTTACTGTTTTTCCCAGTTGTTGCTGCACCTCTTGTGTTTACATTAAAAACATTTTGTCCCTTTTGTTCACTCTGACAAGCGTCACAGTCACATATCTCTAACTTCTCAGCCTCTTTTGCTTTGTCTAGTTGCTGCATATTACTCTTTGGCAATGCCAAATCCACCATCTCATCTCTGAAGCGTTTGGCAAAGTCCTCAGTGCAGATGCTGTCTGAAGGAGGGTGGGTTTCTCCAGCCATCCTTCCCTCATTACAGGTGTCTCCAAGCAGTCTCTCGAGCCTCCACATGACTTGCTCCCTGTGAGACTCTATTTCCTCTTTGTCTCTTGTTTTTCTGTCTGATTTCTGCCTAGTTCCCTCATGAGAGGCAGGACTTTCCTGGCAGCCTGTGCTCCTCTCTGGAGAAATAGGAGAGGAGAGATGGGGTGCTTTTGTGTAAAGAAGAAGCTTGATCTGATGTCCTATTGAACTAAAGAGGAAACACTTTCACATAAACAAATGTTAGCCAATCAAGACATTGGGCTTACTCTAATATTAAGAGGGTAAATGGAGCATGTACACATCTTACTCGTTTCACTTTTAGTTTTCACCTGTATAAACTCAAGTATACATAATGTTGACAAAAAACCTGGTGACAACTAGTGCTTATAATTTCTTTAACAGTTGTTCCTGCAATGATGTTGATTTTGAAATAGTACCTGTTGTTTGCTCAATCATCGGAGTGTCATTTGTTTGTGTTGTACTTCCAAGCCCTGTGTCTTTGCTCAGAGACTGACTCCACCCAAGAGGAGCTAGAAAAAAACAAAAAAAAATGAAAAGCAGATTATGAAAAACAAATCTCGGTATTTGGTAAAAGCTCTGTGTTGGGACTTACCTGCTTCGCTGCTATCCACCTCTCTGGTAATTGCTTGACGTTTCTGGGGCTGGACCTGCATACATTAATCACATTTACTGCTTAAAAAATAACGATTTTTGCCGATTGCACATACATACATGCAGAAAAGCAGACGGACAGCACTGGAGGAAGGACTAGTCAGATCTTTTACTTAAGTAAATGTAGCTATGCCACAGTGAAGAAATACTCTGATACAAGTCCTTACTAAAGTAAAAGTATTAGCATCAAAATATAATTGAAGTATCAAAAGTAAAAGTACTAATTATGCAGAATGGCCCATTTCAGAATCAAATATATAATTTTATTGGATTATATTAATGGTGCATAATGTATACATCACTTTAATGTTGCAGCTGGTGAATGTGGAACTAATGTTGATTATTTTGTACACTGCAGAGTATCTTAACCCTTAATAATACATCAGACTTTATTATTTAATTTATGTTTTGTATTAATAATCGAAATCTACACAGCAACATAAGTTATCAAATAAATGTAGTGGAGTAGAAATAGAAAGTGGCATAAAATGTAAATAGTAGTCTCTCAAAATTGTACTCAAGTGCAGTAGTTGAGTAAATATACTGACAGACAGACACAGACAGACAGAATAAAAACCACAGACCTGCAGCTGACCAAGCTGAGCATCAATAGCATCTAAGAGAAGGTCACAGTGGTCCAGTTTGAGAGGCGGAGTATCTGGTCCAAACCCACTGCTATTGTCATCCATATCTGTGAGGGCAGAAAAAAGGGTGAACAAGAGTGTAAGTGGGTGCAAGAGAGTGAGATATACATGACATAGATGTACTGCCAATAAAACCTGTGCAAAACCAGACCTGTGCAAAGAAGCTCATCTGTGTCCTCTGCATCTCTCTCTGCTCCTCCATGGCCTCTGTCAGCCATGTCCTATTACTAAAGACAGAAATTTGCAGACACTCAGTAAGACCACAGAGACACAACATCCCCAGTATTTACAAGGCTGACTGGGCAGTCATGAGGAGTGGGGGGTTTATGTTGCTCTGTTGTCCAGGAAACCAAGACAATTTAGCTTGTTAGCAAGCCAAATAGACTTTCACTAAGAAGACTATAAATCTCCTGCCTTCCTGTTTCTCCCACTCACCAAAATGAACATTATGTAGGCCTACAGGAGCATTATAAGTCAGTCTGCTTTAACACTGTAATGCAAGGTTTTCCCGCTCATATGTTTATTAAAGACGATTTTCTTAGGCCAGGCTACTCAGAAGAATTTTCACATTATTAAACCTATAGTAGATATAAGTCTGAAACTCCCTAATGATTTAATTTAACGTTGACTTTACATGTAGCTAGGTTACATGAAGACAAAACAATATCACGTTTGAAATTCATAAATCACCACCATTGTTACTGCCTCAGACATCCAGGACTTACTTGCTTTCAGGGAACAAACGCGGAGAGTTTAAATCGATGCTGAAGTTGACTCCTCAGTGCAGAAAGTGAACAGCCGCTGCACTCGTTAGTCTTGATTGACAGGAGCGTCAGTTGGTTGCCCTGGAAACTGTCAAACAGCTCGCGACCCGCACTGGACAGGACCACTGCTTAAAATATACATATTTCCAATGTAAGATACATTTTGTTTTTAGTTTGTTTGTTTTGTCTTTAAATTTAATTTTATTGTTCATTATTTATATATATAAATATATTTTTATTGTTTATATGTGATTTTCTGCTTTGGCAACATTGTTGAACCTAAATATTCATTCCGATAAAGAATTTTGAGTTGAAAGCCCAGAAAAGAGTTGGCAAGGCAAGATGAGTCCCTCTTTAGAAAATATTGACTGGACCACATTAAAATGGCCTTGACACATTTGTGCCCTTAACAACCTCTACAACAAACTCAGGGCTTTTAAAATGTCCTGTATTTGTTGCTTCCTACTAAAGCTTAAAAAGGGGTTGCGCGCGCACGCACCCGCGCACGCACGCACGCACACACACACACACACACACACACACACACACACACACACAGGATTAGATTTAAAAGTTCTAGTGAAATGTTACCTAATTCCTTTTATTGTTATTATTTATATTGTTGGTGATGTTTTTGTTTTACGTTATTGTCAAGTTTGTTGATTTGACTAAATCAAACATTTGAATGTTCCATTTATTGTTTGATTTAATATTTCATTTAAATTAAAATGAATGAAATTCATTTGTATTAATTATAACACATTTCAATTTCTTGTTGTTCATGTCTATTTATAAGTATGTTGTAGTTTGTGTCTATTAAACTCTTGTTTGGCTGTTATTACAGATTTATCTTCGGTCAGTGATAATTACATTATCAGTCTTTTTATTCAGTTCACAAGTGTCTCTTGGGTGTTGCTCTGCCATTCAGCTCAGTGGTATCATAATTCCCTGTTAGACATCAAACATGGTAGATATAATAATGATGTACAGTATAGTTATAAGGTAGTTATTGGCCTTTTCTTACAAAAACTGTTTAGGGTTGTCAGTATTTTCCATAAGGTTGGTCATTTTTTGTGCTAAAACTGGCAAACAATCTCAGATATGTGATTTAAACCCATCCCGTGTTCCAGCTGTTGTGGAGAGAGAATATAAAGCAGACAGATATCCAGTGTCAACAATAACAACTTTATTATCTTCTTTTTTTCAATATTGTGTCTTTGTTGTTTAAAGACAATGTTATACGAGTATAAATTAAGGGAGAAAATACACAATCTAAAAAAAGAAGAAGCAAAACCTCAGTTGAATCTACAGTTACACCTGAATACACCTACGTGTATTTAGGCAGTAATAGTAGTCAAGGCAGGTCAATCACCTTTGACCTACTGTACCAGGCCGCTGTTGTGATGTGTCTCATAACTTTCATCACCGTACAGATTATTAACATCATCGCCATCTCACCACAAATCCGTAAGTCACAGTCGAAGGAGAAGCAGGGTTCAGTTTAAACAAGGCAAGACAAATCTCCCCATCTTCATTAGTTTACTTATGCCTCAAATCCGAGCAGCATCGAATGAGAGGGAAACGTGTGCCACACATGCACACAAATCAAGTTCATTATGCATACAAACAGTATGAAAACACCAACATAAGAATAATGGCACCTGTGAGAAGGTAGAAATCTGAAAAATAAAGGCTGAGAAATTAAAGCTAAAAATCACACTGTAGTGAATTAAGTGTTGGGTGAGATGAAATGAGAGAAAGGAACCCCACATTAAAACCCTCGGAGATAGGGAGGGCAGATGAAGAGGGGTGTTTTTTTGTCTACAGTACACTCTCCACATACACTTTGGTTGTTTATTTCCCTTTCTGCATGAGGTCAACAACTGTTCTCTTTAAAGCAACAACAGCCATGAACAAATCTACAAATCTACGCCTCACCCCGTTATTGCTACAGCGTCCGATACTGTACCAGCCTTCACATGGGGCCACTCCAGTAGGCAAGTCACCATAAAGGACTGAGGTCCCGTTATTTGGAAATACACTGATTAAAAATGTATGATGAGCTCTCCACTGTCGTTCAAAATATAACATGTATTTTAAAATATAAAATCATCTCAAAGACAATATATTAAAGAAAATCTCTTGTAACGTCAAACTGATCGCTGAGAAAGGAAATCACAGACTAACTTTCCGTTTGTAGATGTCATGAAGCATAATTAACTGCACAATGACAACTTTCAAGATGGAAAAAGATTTTTGTTCCTGCAAAAGTGTCCACCCTGTCACACCCTTGATATGATTTTAAGTGTACACAACCTCTGTCAATGGTGTGTGCGTGTGTGGACAAACAAGAGGAGAACCAAAGCAGTAATTAATCAAATTAAAAGGAATAGTTTGAGATTTTCAGAAATAATCTTGTTTGCTTTTTTTTGTTGTTGCCAAAAGTTAGATATGAAGATTGATACCAATCTCATGTCTGTTCAAAATTCGACTAAAGCCAGCAGCTAGTTAGCTTAGCTTAGCATAAAGATTGGAAGCAGTGGAAACAGCTAGCCTGGTTCTTCCTGAAGGTAAATGATTCCAGCTACCAGGGCCTTTAAAGTTCACTAATTAACATGTTTTTGTTGTTTTTTATGAGTGAGTAAGTTTCTGAATACATTCAGTATTTCAACATGTTACATACTCGTCATTTCTGATCGAATTGCTCATCCACAAGTACTATACAGTCACAAATGGTTTTCATCACAGGTACACAAATTAACATGTTATATCTTGATTATGTATTTATACAAAATCCAAAGTGTAAAAACGGCAACTTTTGGTTTTAGGGGACGGTATATGCAAGACAATTTCTTGTCAGGGAGTAGCGTCTTCCTCAAGGTTAAACCACCAAAATTAATTCAATTAGACAGAGCCAGGCTAGCTATTGCCCTCTGTTTCCAGTGTTTATGCTAAGCTAAGCTAACCAGCTGCTGGCTCTTGCTTTACATTTGTTGTAAAGACCTTAAAGTGAGATATTGATAATTGCAACTACCTTTTGGCAAAAAAATAAAATAAAATTAAATTAAATTAAAAAAAAAGAGAAAAGGAAATAAGTGCATTTTCAAAAATGTTGAATAACCATTAAAGCTGGGGTAGGCAACACTGGAGAAACTAGCAAGAGACAGCTAGAAGTATCAAAAAATCCCTCCTCCTCCCTTCACCATTTTTAGGTCAGAGCATTTTATTTATTGGTTGCTGTCTGGTTGTAAAGACAAATTCAACAAATATAACAAAGGAGGCTTGTGAAATAAATTGCCTACCCCTGCTTTAAGCTTTTAAGAGATTTAGTGATTGATCAAACTGTGACTGCCACAAATCAAAATGCACGCAAACATTTTATGTTAATGAGCAGAAGCATCTTTTGTGCAAAAAACTACATCAATCATTATTAATTTCATTATCAAATCATGAATTCACTGATAAACAATCTCAAAGATAAACATTTTACATTTTACCAGCTCATATTATCATGCTGAAAATCTCCTTCACTCTATGTGAATATTCTAAGTGAATTAATTTCTTTTCCAGTGCATTTATACATCTTTATGGCCTGCACATCAGAGGAACTGCCAGATATGATCTATGAAATCATCACTGAACCACGGTTACTAATGTGCTAGTATCAAGGACTCTATAAAAAAATATTTTCAGTGTGTCAAGACAGTTTTTGGAAATACAAAACAAGAAATCTGCAGCCAAATTGAGGGTTAACATCAATCTGGAGATTAAAAGTTAAAATTACAGCAAATCCTTCAGGCTCATTCAGTCTTTTTTTTTTTTTTTAAATTTTTTTTTTTTTTAGATGTGAACTATGCTGTACAGATAACTTAATTCACAGAGTTAGTATAATTATTCTTCATTTTACAATATCATTCGCTTATCACAAATATTCACACAAATGGACTAGACGGTAGATACAACACCTCCAGCCTTGAATTCTACATTCCTAACAATAATTACAAAAAAATACCAACTGGTTTTCAAAACTTTTTTCACCGGAGACGTGTAGTGCACAGGTCAGGGGACTCTTTCCCTTGTTCAGTCAGTTAAAGGCAAAAGACTGAGGGTACCTTCGTGAGCTGATCCCAGATCAGCATGTCCACAAACACCGAATGAAAGGAGTACACGTGTGAGCTGTGTTGAGTCTGGAGCAGCAGCTGGGGGAGTCCTGTGTGGCTGGCTGAACAGCGGTGTGCTACAGGAACCAGCCCTGTGTGCTTTTATTACCCCTGATCTCCTGTCAGCTGAAGCCACTCCGGACTCCTCAGAGAAACTGCTCCACTCACTTAACTTACAATTTGTCCTACTGGAAACATCTGAGCTACAAACTAGTGACTGATGGAGGCTGTGGAGCTAGTGCAATGCACACTATAGAAACCAACATGTTCCTGGATGTCCTGGGGGGTAACTACTCAACATCTTAGCGATGTGTTGCTTTGTATGATCACTGAGAATGATGATGTCACTGAAAATGGTCACCAAGGATTCGGTATGTGTTGCTATGGGAGAGCACCAGAGAACAAGGTAAAGTACATGTAACATCAACACAGAGATATGTACTAACCTATTGTCAACCACAGTGAAAAGTGCGTATTCACTTCTTTGATGGAGATTCCTATTAGAGTGACATGGATGTTCAATGCTGCACTGTTGCACTAATGTGTTACAACTAAAGGACTGACTACTGCAGAACTTTACTAATCAGAATCACACATGGAAGATGTCTGAAGCATGTTGACTAAAATGCATTTAAGTATAGAGGCAGTTTATTTTTAAAATATGAAAGGAATATCATTATCTCTACATGGACTATAGTCTAGTTGACTACTTAACAGTCTGGAGTTTCACATATATGGAGGGAAACTCCAACATTCACTCCAAATAAAATTCTGCACTGCTGTATATTTCATCAGTTCAGATAAATCAGCCTCTACTGTGTAAGAAAAAGATGATTTGCCCAATCAAATATTATATAAGTGTTGAAAATTAAATAAATAATACAGAATACAGTAAACAATCATATCAATAAATACAGACAAAATATATCATAACCATAGAATTATAAAGTAATCCAATGAATTCATAAAACACAGCTCATTATAATGAACTGTTATTTGCTTATTTTAACAATGATAGTTTAATGTGTTTCCAGTTTTATATCTTTCCTTCTGTTTTTATTTTAAACAAGTGTGCATTTATTTCTCAAAAATCGTTTTACATCATAATGCTACTTTGCCTGTCAGCTAATTCAGATAGAGGCCAATTACGTACCTTTCTGTTTGTCTTGAGACTTTTGATTAAAAAAACACATTATTAAATGAGATAATTTAATAGAAATAAAACTGACTTGCGATAAACTACTGTGGAAATAAGCAGCATGAAATAAAATGTAATACTGGAAAACGAGTATAAATTTTTTTTACTGATTAGTTCACACAGCTGTGGTTACATTAACTATTTTGTCTGTAGTTATTTATACAATGTTTTACGGATGTATTTTTTATTTAATTAATTTTGACACTTTGTGTCTGCATAACTAATAATAAAATCGAAAACAGACAGACACCATTTCCAAGCCTTAGCCTCTTTCTTAAAAAGGGGCAAATAATGAGCACTTGAAATCATTCCCGTAAAGAAAAAAAGGGAACTAATTAAAGATTTATACAGTAGGTCTAGCATCATCTTAATTGTGCTGAATAAAACAGAAGATGAGGACACTTTTCTTGTAACCTTCAACAATGTTCAGTTTCTGTGCGCCCATTTATGACTCTGTCAGCTGTCAGTCTATAATCGTGAGCTGCTCTGATGTGGGCTTCTGTCTAATCGGTAAAACTTTTAAAATTAACACAAAAAAGTGCATTGTGAGTAGGATTCAGAGAGCACCTGATTTCGGGAGTGTGCAGGTGCCTTTATTGTGTGGTGTTACAACTCCAACGCCACCTCACATCCACACATTACCTCACTGCTGTTTCAGTATAGTGTCAAAGAGGACTACTCAGAGAACCTTCCTTTTCCCCCATAGTAAAAACAGAACTAGAATGCACATTTGGAGGTACAGTGTAATCCGAGAGCGTGTGAAATGTACACATTCTCATGCTTACAATAGTCCACACGGTGCTCATAACCCAGCACGCCCCCTTGCTTAAGGACTGGAGGCAAAGTAGTTCCCTGTCCAGTGAGGTTTAGAGCGATCCTGGGTGAGCTCCTGGGTTAGAAGATGTCAGGACACATGCTCCAGTCCTGTCTCTCCTTCGCCTCCCAGTAACCTCCCTTGTACACAAAGTTTGTCTCTCCAGTGACGGAGTCCCTCCTCTGGTGAAACCACAATGGCTGGTAGCCTTCATATTCTCTACCTGCGGGAGGAAGCACAGGTGTTAGTCAATCGCAGTCATTTTTATTGCACCCCAGTGGAGTAGCCACACTTGCAGGCAATTTGCTGAGTGATCAATTCGCCTTCATACATATGAATATATATGGGAAGCAATCAATCGCTGTGCACTGCAAATGTGAACCGAGCTTATGTGAAGGCGAACAAGATGAACTCAAAAGTGCCAATTAAATGCAAATGTGCACGATATGTGCGAAACAAAAACCTGGATCGATCATGTTGAAGGGGTAAATTACAATCACAGTCTTGGAACTCCCTGAACTGAATAATCCATCTGTTTCTTAATACAGAAACCCAATCAAAAAAGGGAGATAAAGCTCATGTTGTTGTTCTTTTTATAAAAACATAAGTAACTTGTTTACTGTTGGTCAATGCACCAGAAAAGTGCCCACAAGCAATCGACAGCAGGATGACAATGCAGTGCAAATTAATCACTTTCTAATGTGGCTTTACCATAGCACACTGAGAACACTTAGATGTTATATACTATTACTTAGTTATTTCATGTAACATATCATTGAGGCCGGTTCTAAATGAAAATGTCACATGTATGCAGGAAAAAGTCTTTTTTTTCCCTGAGTCATTATCTGGAGAAGTTGACATGAGAGGGGTATCATGCAGTTCTCACACAGAGGCAGACCACACAGAGGACACACAGAGGATGGTGTGTGTGGTGTGTGTGTGTGTGTGTGAGTCTGGGGGGTGATGCACAACAAAGGGGCACAGGGCAACCCCCACTCACCAGAGTCATTATCACACTCTGACCACCAATAGAGGGAGGAAAAGAAAGACAAGTCATGGGTACATCGAAAACAAATCTAGCCTATGCACAACACACACACAGACATAGGAATGCCACCAGGATGAAACGTTTCTGTTGAGTTCTCCATAAAGTACTATTTCTTGAATCATAACCATTAAAATCAGGAGACCTAAAGAAATCATCCATAATAATACTTATTAATGCTGGTTTGAGGTCTGTCTTGGCTGTTTGTCTCAGTAACAACTGTCTTGACGTGCAGCTGTAAACTGCTCTAATGTTAAATATAGCATTCTGTCAGAGGTGGAAACATTTACTCAATTACTGTGCTTACTTACTGTACCTATAATTTGGAGGTACTTGCACTTAACTTGAATATTTCTATTTCATGTTAAACGTCTACTTCACTACACTACTGAGGGAAATATTGTACTTTTTACTCCACTTTTTATTTGACAGATTTACTTACTTTAGAGATTCAGAGTATTAATTAAAAAATAATCAACAAATAATGATATATGAATATAGATTAAACTACACAGAAGTATATAAAGTAATTCAAATTAGCCCCATCAACTGCAACATTAACGTGATAAGTACATTCATATACTAATAATATACATTCCTCCTGCAATGGCACATTCAGCATAATGAGTACTTTTGTTATTGGCGGGGTACTACCTGATTCTGGTAATATTTTCCCCATTATAAATTCCCATTTCAAAGTTGGTTTTTATGATATTGTTAATGTTCTTCAACACAGACAGTGTGCCAGATAGTTTAATGATACTATTGATTTATCTTGTTGCCATCAATTTTAATAATTAGGGTTCCAGGCCCGAGTGTACTGGGAACCCGCAAGTTCCCAGTACCAGCGGAGCTGGGAACCCTGTTGGAATCGTATTCGTTTTTAATTTTTATTCTTCCTGAAGAAAACTGATACTGCGGCCTAGATAGTAAGTGCTACAGAGGCAAAACTCACAAGGCAGGTCCACTTCTTGTCGATGACCTCAGGCGCAAGAATTCGCACACTTCTGCCTCTAGACGGCGCTATACGCAAAGTCAACGCATTTGGGCTTGGAACTCCCACCTACAAAGCCGCATATCAAAAACCTTACATCCACGCGTTCGGGGGATCGAGCTGAGTGGTATAGGCCATGCCCATTTCCGCCTAAACTTTTTTTTCCGCAAAATCGCATGTTTTTTTAATTTAAAAAAAGTTAATTAAAAACATATTTTAATTAACTCCTCCGAAGCTGCAAGTCCGATCGAAACCAAACTTGGCACGGATAATCTGTGGACCAAGCTGATGAAAGTTTGAAGAGGAAATTTTGATCCGACAAAAAATGCCGCAATTACAAGCTAACAAATGTTTGCGAAAAACGCTACAAACAGGAAGTGATGTCATATCTTATGTTTGGAATGGCTGATCGACACCAAATTTGGAGCATTAATGTGGGATGCCCCCCTGAAGGCCTGTGCAAAATTTCGTACAACTAGCCCCAAGGTGGCGCTATTTATCCAGAAAAAATTGTTCCTCTATAACCACAAGTCACATTGACATGAAACCAGAGCCGAATTTTTCAGCATGGTCCCCTCTCTATAGGCACCAAAGTTGACCCAAATATGCCCATAGATGTTGCTGTTATTGCACATTAAAGATGTAAAAAAAAAATCCCTTACATGCATTTTATATCTCCATAACCACAAGTCCGAGTGATACCAAATTTGGGGCCTGATGACACCTGAAAAATTTGGTGCAATTCGGCCGAAAGGTGGTGCTACAATCGAAGCTCAAATACCCCATTCATTTCAATGGGATTTTGAACCAAAGGACATTTATCCTCATAACTACGCACCACTACATCGCACATTCATAAACCTGTGTTTGGGGGATTCTGCCGATTCGGATGGTATAACACACGCCTCTGTGCGATGACGTTGCCAAGTCCGATCGGTACGAAACTTGGCACGGACCATCTCTGGACCGAGCCCATAAAAGTTTGTAGAGGGAATTTTGATCCGCTAAAAAACGTCCGAATTATAAACTAACAAATGTTTGCACAACCTCTAAAACCAGATGTCATGTCAGATCTTACGTTTGCAATGGCCGACCTACACCAAACTTGGGGACCTTATGTGGCATGCCCTCCCGAGGGGCTGTGTGAAATTTGGGGTCAATCCGCCTCTAGGTGGCGCTATTAATTGGATATGAAATAACGCCTCCCATAGACAGACATTCATTTCAGATCTCCATAACTGCAAGCCCCTTTCATTTATAACTCTGGTCATTTATTCTCCACGTGCCCCACGAGCCGCGGCGGGGCGCACGGGCCGACTCGTGCGCCCACCACGGGGCCAGGGGGGCAGCTTATGCCGGGAGGCTTGGACCCCACTTACAACTGCTTGCAGTTCTAGTTTCAACTTGTTTTCTGAGAAATCATGTTTTTTAAGGTCAGTTTGGAGTCGTTTGGCTTTTTAACAATAAAAAGTTGCTTTTTAAAGCAGAACATCCATGGCACTCTGCCGATAGGATGTCCCCGCAAGTCCTTCCCCTCCCTTCATACTCTCTTTATCATCGCTGCCTCTCTCTGTCTTTTACTCAACATCTCTTTGCTCATCAGACACCATACTTCCTGTTCTCCGTTTCATACCGTCATCCAGAGCGTCTGAGGCCTCCGCTTCCCTCCTCCTCCTCACGGCTCTTTGTTTCTCCTCTAGCCTCTGCTTTTCTGAGTTTGCCTCATCCCATCGCCCTTCCTCCATCAGCTTCTGGTCTGGTCTCAGACGGCTATCTGTCAGTCCCACTCCATCCTCCTGCTCATTCAGGGTCAGTGCCAGCGTAGAGAAGTAGTACATGTTCTCAGCATTCTCCCTGAGTACAAGGAAATTCACAGGAGTTACACAGGGCGATGCTCTACAATCTGAACTTAAGTGTTGACTGATATTGACTGAACTTCGCAGCTGTTATACAACTACTATGACTCATATATTGCATAGTTCTGCTTCATGAAGCTGATGAGACGAGCACTTACGGGAGAGGGTATTTCTTCCACAGCAGTTTGGGAGACAATGTCTGATAGACGGTCTTCTGTTTGCCCTCTGATCCACTGCCCCCTCGGCTGCTCTGAATGATCTTGGAACTCTCTATTTTATCGTCCCATGTACCAGAGAGGATGTAGTGAGCCTGGCCCCCACTGTCTGACACCACACCTGTCACCTGGAGAGAGCAAAAGGATATCAGAAAATAGACTTATTGCATAGAAACTATAGGGAATGAAGAAACTAAAGCAAGCTATCTTTTGTTTGCAGATGTATCACCACGTTCTTTGCTTCTAATAAATGCACAGTCCCTTAGGAAGGACACCAGAAAATATCCCTAACCAGTCACTAGCAAGGAAGGCAGTATTGTGGCCCCTTTTTGGGTAATTTGTACAACCCCAAAAGAGGTTACCTCACTGCAGTGTGACTTCATACAGTGAGCTTCTTCTATATTAAACTACTGTAAGAACTGTTATTTGTTTATACTGTCCAGCAGGAGGCAGCATCACACAGTTTAACCCCTCATCATATGACATCACAGCAAGGTCAGGTGTAAGTGTAGAAAGGAAGCATTTACCTTCCGTGGAACGTCCCTGGAGAAATAACTGTAGGGGGAGAACTTGAGTTGGCAGGTCTCCTTGGTCCTGTGATTCACAATCTCAATGTCCCCTGACTGCACAAATACAGACACAACAACACAAAGGGTGAGAGAGACAAACAAAACACACGGAGAGAATGATAGCATATCCAAGCTATTAATTAACAGTGTCTGTACAGTACATGGAGGCGGCGGGAGAAAGCCCAAGTACTGAACAGAGATAAAAAGGGTAGATACTGGTGAGACTTTTTAGTGGACAAAATTAAGTTGGGGAGAGGAATTTGAATCGACATGGAGGTGGTATACTAGTATCTCGAATGTCCATGCTAATAGCAAAAATAACCAAAACATCTTATTTAGAGACATCCCTTATTGTAAATTGTTATTGTAAAGGTAAATTGCTGTTGTAAAAGTTAGGCTACACTACAATGCTTTAAAGAGTTTTTCAAAAGAGTTAAAAACACAGAAGACAACCGTAAGCCAATGTAATCACAAAAAGTAAACAATGGAGAAACTAAACATAAAAAAATATTTTTTGTATGAGGTAAGAAATGCATTCAACGCATCATCAGATTTTTGCTGCAAAATTCTGAACATACAAAAAACTCCACAGAAGATGAAATACCATAAATATCCAGGAAATGCTCGATGTTTGCAAACTATTAAATATTACCAACTCATTATGCTTTGGTTTACTAATTCAGAGCTGGTATTCCTATTGTAGTTGGTAGCCAAGAAGCCTAATTACTCCACACACCAAAGTGCTTGTTCTGAGAGTAATAATTCAGAGATGTAAGTGAGTCTTTCATATTCCTACATGCAAACACAAGCACTCTCTCTCACACACACACACACACACACTCTGACTGACAGACTGATATGAAACACGGCACACGCAGAAAAAGATCTACACAAACACACAACTGGGCCATCTCACAGAAAGAAGTGGCTGTTATTTTAGGGTGCTATTACAGATCAAAGCCAAAGATAAATCCCTAGAGATTGTGAAGCTCCTTAATCATGTGCTCTGATTCCCTTCTTTACAGCACTCTGCTCTGCTGGTCTGTACCACGCACTACGGCAACATGGGCGGAAAAACCATCTATAGGCTACTCTGGAAGATCAGAGGAATTGAGGCAAGATTGTGGATTTGGAGCTGTGGATGAATGGTTACCAATCAGAAGTGCTCACAAACAGACCTGGTCAATCCACAGCTTGCCCACAATGATGTTGTGCACTGTGGAGGTGACCTTTCTCCACACATAGTGGTTCCCGCTGGAGTGGAAATGCAGGTGAATGGCACCTGGGGAGGGAAAGGGACAAAGGGCTGTAAGAGAAAAGAAATACCACAGCTTCTTTGTTCCCAATCTGCAATTGCAGACCTGGAAGTGATGTGTTAGATTGTGGGCTGTTTGTGGACATGATCAATTTGACCTGCATCACCTGAAAAACACGTAATCCAACACATGTATGCCCTGTGCACAGGGAATACATTTCCATGTATTTTCTGTGTGACCTAACCCTGGAATATTGATAACTTGTAATTGACCAAAAACGCTTTCCACTTAGGAGTTTTTTCAATTACATGGTATCGCAGCAGGCATGTAACAGGAAGTGAGAGAAGCCAGATAAATACCATCCCTTGGTTGGACCTGCATCTATCAAATCTCTGATTTATCTGAGCCAACAGACCCCTGCTCTTGGGTCCCAATGCAGTAGAGAGCTCCCTTTACACCCATACTTTATTGTGTCAGAAGGGGTCATAAAACCCTCCTGATTCATCCTCAAAACCTTTGCTATGGCTTTAGACTGTGTGGGAGGCAGCACAGTTGTCTACTACTCTCAAGTGTAGTCCTTCTCAACTGAACTCTGCCTGCTGGGGCTGTTAAATTTCCATGATACAGTCTTTATTTACACATATAGTTTGATGTATTCCCCACAAAATATGAAATGTCTCACCCAGAGGCATTATGGAGAGGTATTTGCCCCGGAACTTGCTGGCGATGGTGATTTCCTGCCACAGGGTCCAGCCTCGTTGGGAAATCACATGATGTGCAGCTGCAGGGGGGTGATGGCTCACCTTAGAAGAAAGATAAAGGTAAAGAGAATATAGGAAATATATGTTTATATAAGCAGCAAACGCTGTTTAGAGAACACAGGCTGACCTTGTGTACTTCAGCTTGTGTGTCATGTGTACGTGCACATCAGTGAGTCTGTAAACAAAAACTCCCTGGGGTCATGCTGTTACCTGCTCACACAGCGAGCGGTAGCCAAATTCCTCCAGGCGATCGAGCTCGTAGGTCTCGCCCAGGAGGGGGTTGAAGGGCTTGGCTGTTCGGTGGACCGTGGTGGAGTAGGATGAGACGGAGAAGGCAGCGATCAGGCACATCTGCTCCAGAGAGGAGTCGCAGCGAGCCGCCTTGTCCAGAAGCTCATGGTACTCCAGGTCCTCGGTGAGACGCTGCAGCATTGACAGAGGCTCGTTGAAGTTTACCTGAATGGGAGGATCAAGAAGACGTGAGACACAAGGGGAATCACACAGATTTACATTAACCTGTCAGCAAGAAGGAGGGCCATGCCTCATACACTTACAGGCATGGGAATTTTAGAGAGCTCCTTGCCAATGCAGTTTTTCATGATACTCCACAAATTGAGGGAGTAGTTGGGCTTGTCTGGGACACGAGTCCGCCTCTGCCTGAGGGGCTGCAGCTCCTTCCCTGACACATCATTACAGCTCGGAGACATCTGTGAGCAGGTGGAAGGGGACGGGGCCGATGAAAAGAATATTCAATATATACAAGTTTGAGGAATACTTTCAACTTCATGGACAGCTTGGCAGCAATATCAGCAAGTGGAGACAGAATGACAGAGTGAGTGAAAGACACAGATGTGTGCTGGAGAGAAGAAGCTGCAACAGAGAGATGAGGGGAGAGAACAACAGATGTTTGACTGGTAATTAAGATTTAGTGGAATGAAGCAGCTGTGTATCTTTGGCACCACAGGGGTGACAAAGAGACCGTAGGAAACACAGACAAAGGCTGCGCAGGCGTGTTTGTGTGTGTGTGTGAGCATGGGATGAATGTAGGGTAGGAAAGGAGGAATGTCAGAACAGCAAGTGAAGACAGTTATATAAATAAGTCAATGAGCAGCACAAATGAACCCAATATTAGGATTTGAAAAGTCAGCAGTGTTCACAGATGTCAGACAAGTTAGGAGGACCGACACTTACATTGTCGTCCTGGTTCCAATCATTGGAATGGCCACCGCTCGCTCCACTCAAATTACTCTGAGATCGCCTGGAACAGAAAGAAAATGTTTTCTACAATGAGCACTGGACATATAAACACACTCAATGTTCCTATCTCTCAATTCCCACTTACACACACACACACACACACACAAAAACAACAATACAAACGAGGGAGCAAACAGATTGCTGGGTATTACAGATGAATGCTGTGCAACACTTTCCATCATTCTTAATGCCGCTACTGGAATTGAGGGATATGTTGCAAAAGACAAAAGACCTAACAATGATGAGGAAGAAAACACTACAAGCATATTTTTTATAAAGTAAAGAAGCACACATTCTACAAAAACAAGTAGAATTGTCAGAAGGAGACTGACTCCAATGCAGCAAACAAATATGCCACTGTTGTTGTACAAAAATGTACTGAATGAGCAAAAAAACAGAAATTGGTATATTTTGCTGCAAGAAAGCAGACATGGGTTAGAGACTTATGTTAGTTTTATCTGTAGTGAACACATGTGACAAAATGTGAAGGGCACACCACTCTGTGATTTGTATGTGTGTAGATTAAGTTGTCACACCATGAGCTAACATCAGAAGCTTGTTCAGCTGTCAGTCAGAATCAAATTCACTATTATGACCAATTTGAGCATCCACAGAAATGGTTTATTGTGGTTACACATGTACACTAAATATAAAACTCAACTAAACCTTCATCACTATATCTGTCTGGCAGTTGTCCTGCTGTTTCTGCAAATAACAAAATATGGATCCCGGGTGTGCGACTGACCTGTGCTGTGTGTTCTCAGTGGCAGTCACTGTGATAAATGCAGGGGAATCCTCCATGGCATCAAAGTACTCAGTATCCTCATCTTCATCACTTGCCTCTTCTTTGTGCAGCCTCTCACTCCCTTTTGTCAGGACATATACATTTGTGAGAATTCAAAACTAGCAGAACTGTATTGTACAGAGTTCAGGAGAGAGCAGCGTATAATCACATACCCATGGCGATTAATCAAGGAATAATCAGCTTAGTAAAACTGGCAATGTTCCTGCTGGTTAACTAGCGTGAATGTTGCGAGCTCCTCGGGTGCGTGTGTTTCTAATATTCAGTATCCAACGTTAAATTTTCAGTATGATCTGTTATGTGTTTAAACTAAAGCTTCCAACAGAGAGGCACAAATCCAAATATATAAATCAGAGTACTGTGTAATGACAAGTGATTCTATTAAAAAATAGGATAAATTATGACCAAACAAACAAATAACCACTAATATGCACAAATACTGTCTTTCACACAGAACTTTTACCATTCTTTTAAAATCAGCTTCTACTTAATAATACGTAGTTTGATGCATAAAAATAATTTATTCGATAAAGATTTGCATCAGCCTGAAGTGATGGGTTAACTCTACTCCACAAATAAAAAAACTGGATTGAGAGAAGATCATAACCGCCACAACATCCTGGCCATGAATACACAAAAGAGTTAGGAAATGTTTTTTCGCCCCTCCAACTTTTTAAAGGAGAAAATACTCCGGTAAGCCATTACCATTACAGCCATCACTGCACTATATAAATGACGGAATACTATAAAGTGTAGCACAACGTCCTGTTTTGGTATTGAATGATGTTTGAGCTATTTGTACAAATCATTTTTCTATAGATGAAAGATTCACACTAAAAGGTAAGGTCATGTGTTCACCAAAATCAACGGGGTTCTTTCTATAGGAGGATGGATGTACACAGCAAATTTCAGGCCAGCCTGTATGTTGGTTATAGGTAAACAACAAACAAAATAAACACATGGGTGGGCAGACTGACAGAAGAGACTACACGGACCTACAGTCCTTGGTAAATATAATTACCATCTCTAACTTAACGATAATCCAATCCAAACCTTGTGACACAACTTAAAATCTACTTCCTATGCATTAGGACTTTCTATAATATGGACCCAGATGTCACATGACTGTTAGCCAGTATACTGAGGCACACAGGCGTAAGTAACACATAGACTGTCAGTCTCACCCTTGTTGGTGGTAGGGGCACTGGGTGTGGTGGACGCAAGCGTGGGTGCTTCTCTCCACGCTCGCTCCAGGCTGTTATGCTGCTTGGCTAGCTGCTCAATGGTCTCCTCTAGGTGGGTACGTTGCTCTCGCTCATACTGCAGCGCCCGCTGCCATCTTCTACTGTGAGTCTCTGCTAGGTCCAAGAAGTCTCGACACGCCTGGGAGAACACATACACACATGTACATAAAGACACTGGCAGCTATGAAAGTTTAATTTCCAAAATATACAGTCTGAAAACAATCTGCTGTTCATAATCCTTAGCAAGGTACAAGTTACTTTCAACTTGCTATGACAGCTCAGACTTCTGCATTAAGAGACACAGTGTCCTAAAATGGCTCTTCTCACAGCTTTACAACAAAGTGGCATCATGGGGATTTTGGAAAAAATAATGACCTTTTTGGTTCCTGTTCTTGTTTAAAACAAGACCATTAAAATCATAAAACATTTATGAACACTTCCACAATTTATTTGAGTCAACAAAAAATAAAAAATAAATCATCAGTATATCATTTTTCATTACATCCTGATATAAGAACAATACAACAATCTGAGAGAGAGAACATTGGGATGGAATAGGGTGTACAGACACTCACGTCAATCATTGTAATCAAGCCTATTTATTACCAATGATCCAAGCATTTATCAAAATGTTAATTAGCCGTCTGCCGAGCATTTACTGGGTCTCCCTGCTGTGTCAAATGTGCCTCAAAGCACAGCGTAAACAGAAAACATCAGTGAGTGATGAGCTAGAGGTTAAACCTCCGATTGAAAAGCAGACTATATTAGAGTCATTGTGGCTGCCTTGATTTTACTGCTGAGACTAAGAGGTTACTTCAGATCAAAATATATATTACATGTCAGCATTTTTTGGCACTTTCCGACAGCCCTGCCTCATAATGAACTCAAAGGTCAATGAACCTAAATAACACCTCACAGCTGAAAACGTGCATGATGAAAATGTCATGTGACCGTCATCGAGCTGTCAGCATAGGGGGCCTCAGAGCAGGGTTTCTGAATAATCGTTTTAAAACTGCTTTACTGTACTCAAGCAGTTTTGTGGGGGCTAGTCATTGTTCTTCAGTGGAGCAGCACACGACTACATATGGCCCGAACAATATTTTTCCTGAGGCAGAGGGACTGTTGAGAGTTAGCTTGAATCACTTAGATAAAGTTGTGTCTTCATGCAGTGACCTGGAAGCGTGAAAGCGTCACACAGCCCAAAGAATCTCCGTTCTCTGGCTGGTGAGAGTTCAGTCAGGATGTGCAGTATCACTTTTAAGCAGCAGAAAGAGAAACAAGGATGCGTAACACCCGACTCCTTCTCTGATTTGTTTACAGAAAGCAGGATACCTATCTGCCTGTTGAAAAAGGACTCCATCTTTCTCTCTCTCACACACACAAATTACACTGTAAACTAGTTGTCTCTTATATTTAAAAAGGGTGGTTTTCAGTGAAATTAAAAAGCTATTTCTAAAAATGACATTATAATAATATGTTTTTCCCCTTTAATTTGTTAATTCAGAAAGAAAAACAGGAAAATGATTCATGCTTATCTTAATGCTACTTAAACAAGTTACTAATCTGTACAGACAAAGGGATTTAAAACGGTTATAATGTAATATTGTAAAATCATATGTATGGTAATGGTGCAGTTTTATTATATGATGACAGAACTGAAATCATTCATCCTTACCCATCCTTACAAAGGCTTTAGTTGTTCTAAACTATAACCCTATTTGAACTGAAAACACAAGAATAAGGTATGAAAATCACTGGAATATCTGACAGTAAAAACATCCAACCCCTTACCTTCAGCAGACTTGCATCAAGTGTCTAAACATCAATGTCTGAGCCTCAGTTTAAATGTTAGAAGTGCATGTGATATTGCGGCCCACTTCCTCAGACATAACCATGGTATGAAACTGAACACCCACTTAAAAAAGTATGATAGTTCCACTTTTTTTATGCTGAGTCTCCAGTACAAACGCAGACTGCATATGACTTCCGTTGGGGGGAAGACAGGCCGAGCGGTGAAAAGTGAATGGGCAAGCAGAAGGGGATATGTAAGTAAGAGGTGGCATCAGCAGTTGTCAGTGTCAAATTAAAAGTCCGGCACAAATGAACTTGAATTTAATGTGATGAAACCATACACATCCAAAGTGGTGCGTGTGTAAAATGCATGCGCACACAACCGGACAAGAGCCTGGACTCAGTGGCACACGTGAGAAGTTACATCACCACTGAATGTACTAGTGCAACCCTCTCCACGGGTCGGATCACAGAGAGCATGCAGTTGTGTCTTGCCATTATGGCCTCCTAACTTCCCTCAAACCCTCCTCTGTCCTTAATTCTCTCCTTGCATTTCCAACCCAATTTCTTTGTGAAAAGCAAATGAAAACTACAGTTATATTTAAAAGTAAATGTCTTAACAGTGGCTGAAAACGTGGCCAGATACCCAAATCCTGTGCTGCTCTCTGCTCAAATCATTACAGGGAGTTTCTGGCAGCACGTTTGCTCATTAGAAGCACATTCTTGGCAAACCTAATGGCATTTTAATGAGCTTGGTAATCCAAGAGGTAAGAAGTTTCAATTTCCCATATCAATTAATAAACAAAAACAAATAAAACAAAATGGATGACACAGAGAAACAAGGGGCTCATCATTACACATAATTCACATTCAAAAATGCAATCTAACTTTTATTTTTTTCCCCTTATCATAACAGTACGGCTCAAGTCTGTTAACAAGCTGTATTAGCACATACTTGTACCATATGAAGAGTAATAATTTAATTTGAAAAAAGTAAAAATCCTTGAAGATCACAAGTGATCTTTACTAAATTATTTTTACACCTAACAGCCAGACATTTCACAGAAAAATCAGTCAGGCATGCATTATAGTAAAAATAAACATCCACTCCCACAAGAATAAACAATGCTATCAACAAAGCCATCGACAGAAGCAGGAAGAGAGACAAACCTGGTGCGATTGTCTGGTTTTAGTCAGAGCAGGTCTGTATGTCAACTCCAGAAGGCTCTAACATTCCTCACCAGGCAGGGAGGGAAGAGGGTTTTAGAGGGGGGAGCAGGGGCTATTCCTGTCTCCCCCACCCACTATCATATCTAGTATCACTTCTTTAGGACCTCAACTCTCCCTGAACTATCGCCCACTACTAACAATCTGTTAAGCCATATGGTATTTACCATTTAGAAAAATGCAACAGGGCCAGATACATTAGAGCAATTTTTATTCTAGTAATCAGATACAACATTTAGTAGTTAATGTGTTTTCCTAAACATAGCTTATTAGGTGAATATTTTGGTGATACTGCAATATATTATTTTGGAAGAGATCTTTTGCTGTTGGTCCTCCTGGAGTTTCTCTCTTTTTCTTATCAAATCAAAAATACAAGCATAGAGTTTCACATATGTGAATTTGTAAACAGCAAAGATGTTCGTATTCTTATACGATACGCTGTGACATTTTATTAATCTCCAAGCACAGGGAACCACCATCAGCTCTGCAATTAATTACTGACTATCATTTTTAAACATTAAGTTAGACATGGTTACGTTTAAGTAGGTTTATCAGGATCTGAGAGGATCTGGCACCGCTTTTCCTAAATCTGCAGCCTCCAAACTGCAGCTCGCTGACATTCATTTAATATGCCACACTGTGAAGTGATCTCATCACCCCCTAACCAGGACATTATAGGTGACTGGTATTCTTGTCACTGTGATCATGCTGGAGCATGTGGGACGCAGCCTGGTCTGTCCCCGCTACTTACATTGATCATAGCATTAGAAGTGATGCGGAAGAGGGTGGCTCGCTCATTGACTGCCTTGATTTTCTCCCCTCCCTCCACGGAGACTTTCAGACCCTCAAGTTCACTCAGGGAACGCTGCAGGGCTGCCCCATGCTTGGCGATCAGGTCATTGCATGTGCTGAGGTCATCGAGCTTGCTGACAAGTATCTTCAGGGTGCCCTGAATCTCGCTGCGGTCCGACTGGGTTGTAGGTTCCTCGTCCCCCGAGTCATCTAGAAGAGAGAGGTGAGAGGTCACATATACATACCATCTTGAACAAGAGAATTTTATTGGGACTTGTGAGAACAGCAATCATAAAAGAGAAGATTAACAAAGACAATTTAGAAAGCTTTTTCTTGGGAAACTTTATGCAACATATCGAACTGCGTAGCTGCTGAATTGCAAAACATGCACACACACCCCTTTTTATGATACAGATATTTCCCATTAGAGATACCTTCCCAAGCTAAGGTGGTGAAGACAACAGGCAGCCATAACAAACACAAAGTGTTGTTTACTCATTTCTATGTTTTGATAATGTGTTAAATAACGAAACTGAGCAAAAAACAAAAATATGATTAAATGATAAAAATGACAAATTACTTTTCCTATGACAACAAAACATTTCACAGTGATTAGTACCACTGACGCAATTTGTGTTAATTGGACAGGAGCCTCTAACCGACGTAATTTTACCATGTCGGTTTTTTTGGTTAGCGAGAGAGTGTAGAAGTCCTTAGAAGCTTATCAAATGTGCATTTGAATACAGACAGCTTTTCCATACACATGAGCCTTTTCAGTAGCAGATGCCTTTCACTAAGATGTCACTAAAGAGAAGTTACTTAAGCTTTAACAGAACATACAAGAACAGTCTTACAGCGTCAGCCCCACAAATTACACACACACACACACATACACACACGTCGACTGCAAGCACAAGCACACACACAGAAAGACAGAAATACCCCAAAGGTAAGACCAAGGTCCATAAAAAGCCTAGTGATGTCATAAAAGGAACAAATCAAAAAAAGAAAACAGAAGTCTTGATGTTTCAACTAAATCAGATGCACACACAATCTTTCTAGAAGATTACATTTTATTATAAAAGGTATTTTTCTAGCAAAACACCTGGAACTTGCATGATGGATTTTGAACTGACTTAATAGAACTACCGCTGATACTAAAACTAAGAAACGGAGGGGGAGAGTAGCAGGAGGATACTGTTTATCTCAACAAGGAAAATACATTTCTGATATAGTGAGGTTAAAGGGTTGAGTGCAGAGAGAAAGCCTGTCCACCCTCTAATCCACCTGCAGACCCTCTAATGCTCTAATGTCTAGAAACTGCTGTTGTGCTGTCTTCTACTCTTCACCATGCAGAGTATGCTTTGACACATTGAAAAGGTCTGTTATGTGTGTAGCTGATAGCAGAGACTGTCACGTCTCGGTGAGAGGCAGCACTACAGCAACACTTTCTCCTAGAATATGGCAGCTGGCTGTGACCTCACAGTGGAAGAGGCTTTCACCTCTGTCATGTCCATTTAGATCATGCAAGTACAACATGGATCTCCTCCTGGGGGATGCTGGTAGTGTGGGTTCACATTTGACCGGGATCATTGTCCAGTGAAACATCCAGTTGTTTTTAATACAGTCTATGGTCCAGCTCCACTGAGAAACAAGCAGAACAGAGTTATCCAACGAAGGTTAAAATCAAGGGCAACTGGACTTGGTTGAAGATACTGGAAGACGTTTCGTCCCGCATCCAAAGGACTTCTTCAGTTCTGACTGACTGGCAGGGAAACTCAGCTATTTAACCTCAGTGGGGTCGTCATCCCGGGTCATCGATACCGCTGGTTCGTTAGTGTTCCTTGTTGCTGTGACGACAGTCGTTACAGTCGTTAAGACTACCTGTGGCCAAGACTGAACGACCATCGTTGGTATCTTCACCTGAGGCCAATTGGTTACGTTTGTTGAGTTTCCTGGGAAGTGATGAAAGGACAGCATTGTAAGTGGGGGATAAGTGGTGGCGTAGACCCCCTCCCCTGTTCAATGACGGCTTCTCAACCCTGGTGTAGATGGCTTCCTTGACACCTCTTTCAAACCATCCATCTTCTCTGTCTAAAATGTGCACCTGGTGGTCCTCAAATGAGTGTCCTCTGTCCTTCAGATGTAAGTAGACTGCAGAGTCTTGACCTGAGGAGTTGGCCCTTCTGTGTTGAGCCATGCGTTTGTGTAGTGGTTGTTTAGTCTCCCCAATATACAGGTCTGTGCATTCCTCACTGCACTGGACCGCATACACTAGATTGCTTTTCTTGTGTTTGGGTGTGCGGTCTTTGGGGTGTACCAGCATCTGTCTTAGTGTGTTCTTGGGTTTAAAAAACACAGGGATGTTATGTTTGTTGAAAATCCTCCTGAGTTTCTCTGATACTCCAGACACGTATGGAATCACAATGTTGTTGCGTTTGACCTTCTTTTCCTCCTCCCCTGTAGTTTTGTTCTTCTTGGATCTTGTGGCTGTCTTCACAAAGGTCCATTTAGGATATCCACAGGCTGTAAGTGCCCCCTTCAGGTGGTTCTCTTCCTTCTCTCTGGCTTGGGCAGAGATAAATCTGCACTGGACTAAGTAGAGCTGGCTTGACAATATCAAGAGTAGAGCCTAACGAAAATTAAAGAACATCTGATAATGATATATTGTTTCATACAAACACATTTACATTTTTGATGAGAATCCCTTAAATTCGGTCAAAGAATTATGAAAACTTAATAGTGTTTTTTTGCCATACTAGTGGCTTTAGGGAAGTCGATCAGTCGGTCCACCATCGAAAATGTTTCAACATCTACTGGATACATTGCTAAACGCTAAACTATGATCGTGAACATGATTGCTTTATATATATATATATATATATATACACACACACATATACACACACACACACACATATATATACAGCGAGGAAAATAAGTATTTGAACACCCTGCTATTTTGCAAGTTCTCCCACTTAGAAATCATGGAGGGGTCTGAAATTGTCATCGTTAGGTGCATGTCCACTGTGAGAGACATAATCTAAAAAAGAAAATCCAGAAATCACAATGTATGATTTTTTAACTATTTATTTGTATGATACAGCTGTAAATAAGTTTTGAACACCTGTCTATCAGCTAGAATTCTGACTCTCAAAGACCTGTTAGTCTGCCTTCAAAATGTCCACCTCCACTCCATTTATTATCCTAAATTAGATGCACCTGTTTGAGGTCATTAGCTGCATAAAGACACCTGTCCACCCCATACAATCAGTAAGAATCCAACTACTAACATGGCCAAGACCAAAGAGCTGTCCAAAGACACTAGAGACAAAATTGTACACCTCCACAAGGCTGGAAAGGGCTACGGGGAAATTGCCAAGCAGCTTGGTGAAAAAAGGTCCACTGTTGGAGCAATCATTAGAAAATGGAAGAAGCTAAACATGACTGTCAGTCTCCCTCGGACTGGGGCTCCATGCAAGATCTCACCTCGTGGGGTCTCAATGATCCTAAGAAAGATGAGAAATCAGCCCAGAACTACACGGGAGGAGCTGGTCAATGACCTGAAAAGAGCTGGGACCACCGTTTCCAAGGTTACTGTTGGTAATACACTAAGACGTCATGGTTTGAAATCATGCATGGCACGGAAGGTTCCCCTGCTTAAACCAGCACATGTCAAGGCCCGTCTTCAGTTTGCAATGACCATTTGGATGATCCAGAGGAGTCATGGGAGAAAGTCATGTGGTCAGATGAGACCAAAATAGAACTTTTTGGTCATAATTGGACCAAAAAGGAGGGGTCTGACAATTTCAGACCCCTCCATGATTTCTAGTGGGAGAACTTGCAAAATAGCAGGGTGTTCAAATACTTATTTTCCTCACTGTGTGTGTGTGTGTGTGTGTGTGTGTGTGTGTGTGTGTGTGTGTGTGTATATATATATATATATATATATATATATATATATATATATACACAGCTCAAAAATAGATGGGGTGAAGTCCTCTCATCTAAAATGAATAAGCACCAAGAGGAGCGAGGGTGGGACATAAAAGAAACCAGGGGAGGGTGAGCAAGGGGGAGAAATCTCTCACCATATCAACATAAAGGTAACCAAAGTTCAGCCAGGAAGAAGCAGAAAAACACAGGCCACTAAGCTCTAGCCTCCGAGGTAACATGTGAACATGCTGAATAGGCTTTCAGAGAGAGACAACTGTCTGGCCATGAGTGACAAAAGCAAACCAGTCCAGCCAAAGGTCAACAGCCGTACAACAGCAATAACACTGGGAACAAGGGAACATGGACCAGAAAATGACACTACCATCCACCCAGAGTAGTAGTAGTAATCAAACTGATCTGAATTTTAGTGTGTCGATAGGCGGGCAGCTGCAGTGCAAAGGAAAGCAAGAGTCTGTAAAAGAGGTTTGAGGAAGCCAAAGAGCAAGCTCTGAGAGAGTTGGAGAGATAATAAAATAAGCCTTAAATTGATAAATGTCTGACCATGAAAGCCTTAAACAGATAAGTTAGTGTAGCTTTGAACTTCCTCCCACGAGGCAACAACAAGTCTGCCCCAAATCACATTTGATTTGAAAAATTTATGTTCAAAATTAGACTTTAAAAATATTAAAATGCTCTATGGGTAAATAATTAGATTTTATATACTTTAAATATACTGTAAATATAATTTGTCATATATTTGTCATTTAACACCAAGGACACAGAATTTGAACTTGGAAAAAGTATTTTCAATTTCACTGTGTCTCAGAAAATGAATGAAAAACTGTTTCTTGAGATACTAAAAATGGCGTCAAATAACAACTACAGTCTGGCCTGAAGGTAGATTTGTAGACTAAGCATAACTAGATATTTGGAGTTAAATTGTATCTACATTGAATTTATCTATTTAGAAGCATTGGATGTGACAAGTATTATAATTACCTTTGATATGTACTTGTCAAATTAAGTCCATTAGTGCAACTTTTGAAAGACCAAAGTGGTGAAAAGCAACTTTCCTCAAGCAATAGCAGGAGACTGTGTGTCATACATGAACAAACAACTAATCAAATTCAAATTCAAATTAGCTTTATTGGCATGAATGTGTAACAACAATATTGCCAAAGCATCATACAAACTACATAAGAACAATCAACCCCATACATTTCACTAACTAATCAGTGTACATTAAATCTGAAATGCTGGAAACCAGAAAGTTG